GCATTTCCATTAGTCCCAGCTGCCCAGGCTTGCATTTACCCTTGCTCCTCTGCCTGCATCACTAGACTTTACAGTTGGGGGTGGGAGTCTCCGTTAACAATCGGACCCATATAGTTGCCACCATGTGATAGGCAACTCTGCCACGCTGGGCTCTCTGGGATATCCTGTCTTGCATTACTTCATTTAATCCTCAGCAAATCAGAGAGAATGGTTGTTGCCTTACTTGTCATGGCCAGATCCCTCGTGCCTAATTTGGGAGCTCGAGCGGAGTAAAATGCTCCTGGATGTCTTTGAAATGCCTGAATGATTAGTGGGCTATTTGAATCACCAGGTCCACAGATGCTCTTGTTGGTTTTTATGGAAATAGACTTCTCCTTTGCTAGGGAAATTCATCATCGCCCCCTCCCCCAGACTGTTGAGGAGACTTCAGAGGAAGCCTGTTCATTCATGTCTGCTCCTATCTGTCTGCAAATGTCCCTTACCCAGGCGCAGTCCTGGGAGAAGAAGCAGCTTCTTTTCTGAAAGGAAAAGGTCAGGCTTGGAGTAACTGGGTAGCTCCCGTGGTTGCACAACAGGCCCTCAGGCACTGAGGCTGAAGCCCAAGCCTCCTGGCTCATTTCCCTCTGCCCCACCGCACGGAAAACATCCTGGAAGATCAGTGTTTAAAGATAGAATCCAGAACCCTTGCCCCGACCCTTGTTAGGAGTGATGTAAACAAGCCGAGGATGTTCCGGGGAGGAGCAAGGTTAGGGAGTGCCTCGGGGACTGCATTTCTTCTCCATCCTGTCTCCAAGCTGCTGTTGCCCTCTCCCCTCGCCTGCCTTGAGTGCTGATGCTATGGAAGGAAGTAAACGCTGGCTCTGCCCACCTGGATGGAGCCTTCCTTACTCCATGGTTCTGAGCGGTGGTGGCTGAACCTGCTCTGTGGAAAGATTGAGGAGCCGGCACCCAGCAGCCTAGCCAGGTGTACTGACTGACTTGGCCTCGGGGCCTAGGGTTCCTGGTTCACAGTAAAGAAACATATACCCAATATAGTCGCTTATGCCATAATGCATATGCATAAACACCTAGATGTAAAAAGGTGCAGATACATAAACACCTGGCTTACATCAGGGATGTAGATGGCATCTGACATGGTGCTTCATAGTTTTTAAAGAATGAACTTGAGCTTGAAGCTGACTTTAGCGTGTGCTTTGGTATCTGAGTTGTCCTGGTTCCTGGGACAGCTCAGTTCGTTGGCTTCAGCACTTGTGGAACCTGGTGACTTGTGAGCCAGGGAACTTCAACTGTTCCTCACCACATCCTCAGACCTTACAGGATGTAGCCGTAGCCCCTAAAGCAGTGGTTCGCAACCTTCCTTTAATATGATCTCTCATGGTGTGGTGACCCCAACTATAAAATTATTGTCATTGATACTTCATAACTGTAATTTTGCTACTGTTATGAATTGTAATGTAAATATTATGGGAGATGGAGGTTCGCCAAAGGGGTTGAACCACAAGGTTGAGAACTGTTAACAGGAAGGAGGGTAAAGCTACCTGTCGACTGGCCAGGCACAGCCCAGCCTCAGCAGCAGGCAAGTGGTTTTAGTAATTCTATCCTGATGTGCATAATGACTTGAGACGGGAGTGAGTGAGAGAGAAGGACTCGGCTTGGAGGAGTGGACAAAATGGTGGCCCTGAACACAGTCTAAAGGCCTCATTATGGGGCCACACGGGTACAAGATGAGGGGTCGGCATGCTTTGAGTGTGTGGGTAGGAGGAAGAGTGTCAGAATGTACAGTTGTGACGTTCAGGAGATGAGCAGGGACCAGACAACAGACTGGAAGATTTGACTCAGCTTCAAGCGCAGAGTTGAAAAAGACTGCCTGATGACAAGGGGAGCCAGGGGTTTATTCCCTGAAATCCCGTTTCCCTTCTCTGACCACATGCCTGGTTTATGTGCCTATCCTGATTTCTGCATAACTCTAGCTAGATAGGAGAACGGGAAGCCACTGTTCCTTTCCAGCAGAGCAGAAATCCCCAGAGTTAATACCTGCTTCTCGGAGTCATTCCTATAAGTAATTTGGCACCAGCAGTGGGTCAAGGCGCTTGGACCACGGCAGCGGCATGTAGTAGATCTTGTCTGCTCCGTCCAAAGTGACTCTGCTCCACCGCTTCAAGCTCCTGGAGCTAAGGAATCCAGGAATCATTTCCAAACAACCACCGGGTGGTCTGTGGATTCTGAATACCAAACCATGTAGATAGAAGGGAGCGACATTGGCAAGGCTGATGGGAGGGAGAAACAGGGCTGCTTTGCGTGAGGCTCCGGGTGAGCCCTCTTCACGTCACTCACCTGAGTAGAGACCCACCGACAGGGAAAGAACATACTACGAAGGGGACATTACAGAAGGTTCCCAGGGGGACTGAGTCAGTTGCACACTGCCTTTGAGACACAGAGAAGCAGGTGGGACACAGATTGCATTTGGAGGATAGGTACCCAGGCATGGAATCAGCAAGTATGACAAGGACACTTCCTCCATGTGGATGACCCAAGACACTCCTTCGAGGGCTTCATAATGGCAATCCTGTCCCACCTGAACCCTCTGGTTCCAACACTTAAACGTTTCCTCCTGAACTGGCAGCCATTCACACACAGAGATTACTTCCAAAGCCAGAGTTCAGAGATAAAGCAGCAACTCTGCCCTCAAGACAAGGGAACTGGGGGAGAGGGGTCAGTTTGGCCCCCCACTAGGCACGAGCTTTAAGGATGAAGTAGGGTAGAAGGAGCTGTTGAGAGGAGCCCTTTGAGTCTATGGCTCATGATCCCCTCCCTCTGCACTCATATCGTCCTCTCTGGGAATCTTGGAACATCTGGTAAGGCTGCTGAGTGGGTCACCGCCACCTGCCACCTCCTATTAGGAGAAGTAAGCTTGAGAAAGAAAGATTTGTTTTTAATCAGTTCAATTCCAGATTAACACAGCTAGCGTCTTCCCTTCTTAGTCTTGTAGGCCATTAGTTACGGGAGAATTCAGAAACATGCATGTGGTAGGGTCATTCTTGATGACAGCTGAGCAAATGGCAAAGGAGAATCCTTGTGGCTGTGTATTATGGGATGTTAAACCTGGCATTGACACCGAGACAGCTCTGTGCAGATGGATGCATGGTGATTAGTGGGCATCACGAGAGTGAGCTAAATGAACACTCAAAAATGGATATGATTGCCAGGCAAGGGTGGTGCACACCTTTATCCCAGCACTCAGGAGGCAGAGGCAGGTGGATCTCTGTGAGTGTGAGTCCAGCCTGGTCTACAGAGTGAATTCCAGGGCAGCCAGAGCTGTGACATAGAAAAATCCTGTGGGCAAAAGATGGTTATGTTGAATTTTACTTAATGTAAAAGTTACTAGGTAAAAATTAAAACCAACCAAACACACACACACACACACACACACACACACACACACACACACACCATCTTCTCCAGTGTTTCCTCTTTAATGCTAAGAAGCAGGAAGGTTAAGTGACTTTAGCTGAAGTCACAAAGCTGGAGAGATAGAACCAGCTGGAGTCCACACGCCTAAAGACCACACCATCCAGGAAAGCAATCGCTCTTTGAATTTTGGACTCACTGACGTGTTCATAGGAGACCCTAATAGCAGCCCATCTTTTTCACCCTCCCCCCACTGTACATAGCTCCCAGCGCTCTCCTTAAGTAGATATTGTCAGTGGATTTCAGACCACCTTGAAAGCCTGAGACCTGCAGACCCAGGGAGGAAGAAAAGAGGGAAGAAAGGAGGAAGATGGCCTTGGGCTGCAGGCTGGGACTGATAACCAAGGTGGCTTCATTGTAGTTTGCTCCAACACTTTCGCTTGCTCGTTGAGCTCTCTGGCTCTTCCACACAAGCAGGGTGGAGGCCTAGACATGTCCAGTTAGAAATGTGGGGGACAAATGCTGTGAATCCTTGGACCTTATAAGTGTACCCAAGTCCTAGCTCCAACTCCAACTTTCCTTAGCCACCTTCCCAGCAGAACTCCAGGAGTTTGCTGAGAACCAGCCACGCAGAAGAGTTTCCTTGCAAGCACTGGCAAGCAGAGTGTTTGTAGGTCTCATGGAGATGAGGCTGGCCTCCATCTTGCTGTGGATCTGAGGTTGTCTTTGAATTCCTAATCTTTATTACTTCTACTTTTCAAGGGTTGTGATTCCAGGCATGTACCACCATGCCTGGCAGCACTCTGTCCTCCGCTCAGATCTCGTTTCTTTTAACACGAATGATGTAAGATGTCATCTTATTTCCCAGATTTTCCTTTTTCACTGTGTATGTCTTTATTTTACACTCAATGGTGACACCCTGGATCCTTGTCATGTTGATGGTGTAAACCAGTGTTAGCACCTCCGAAGTTTCTTTTCATGGCTCCACCTCTGCCAGCCCCTCAAGGACTTGCACTTTCCTATGTATGCATTCATGGTTCTTGAAGAGCTGGGTGGAGTGGGGATAGGATGAATAGTTTGAAGATACTCTTGGGGTTCATGCTGCTATGTCATCCCCATCTTCCCAGACACACAGTTCTGTGTGAATCATACACCTGTAATTACTGGTAGGTGCCAGGTCAAGGACCCTAGGCTCTGGAAGTGTGACAGGCAGGTCAGATGAAAATCTACAAATGTAGATGAACTTGATGTTTGGATGCCAAAGTTTAGAGGGACTGAGTGGTGGAGAATGCTTATATTGAAATGCCCCAGCTTGTGCCTGTGTCCCAAAGAGAAGCATTGGGCACAACTAAAGAACAAAATGGTAAACTGAGGAGTTCTTGTTTATTTCCCAGTGAAAAGACTTTAAGAAAATTGCTTAAACCTCCAGCCTCAGTATTCTATCTTGTGAGTTGCATCTAGCTGGTAACATTGGTTACATGGATGGATGGTTGAATGGATAGATGGATGGATGGACGAACAGCGGCAGCCCTGATGAATCAGTGTGTCTCCCCTCATCCTTAGGAGCTCCTGTCTCTCTGTCTTTTCTACAGGACTCGTGTCAAGCTGGAAAGTTTGGAAGATGCTTATATTCTCCGGGGCGATGATGACTCCCTCTCTGACAAGCATGGCTGCCCAGCGTATGTCAGCCCAGAGATCTTGAACACCACTGGCAGTTACTCGGGCAAGGCTGCGGACGTGTGGAGCCTGGGGGTGATGCTGTACACCATGTTGGTGGGGCGTTATCCCTTTCATGACATTGAGCCCAGTTCCCTCTTCAGTAAGATCCGCAGGGGCCAGTTCAACATTCCAGAAACTCTGTCGCCCAAGGCCAAGTGCCTCATCCGAAGCATCCTGCGACGGGAGCCCTCAGAGCGGCTGACCTCACAGGAGATTCTGGACCATCCTTGGTTTTCTACAGATTTTAGCGTCTCGAATTCGGGATTTGGTGCTAAAGAGGCATCTGACCAGCTGGTGCCAGATGTCAACATGGAGGAGAACTTGGACCCTTTCTTTAACTGAGCTTAAGGCCCACGGACACTTAGCAGGTACCAGGAGCAAGAGAGGGTCCCAGAAAGGAGTTCTGGGCCACAGGTGGCCTGGCTGAGAAGCAAGACGGACACTCGTATTTACACATTTCTTGGTTCAGAGGAGGAATACCTTCCAGGAGCTGACCGAACACTTAGCATGGGAACAAGACCTGTGGGATGGGGGTTGGGTTTAGATGGTCAGGTGCCCCTCCCCTAAGTTTCTCTTCCCTGGGGTAGCCTGAGAGTCCCCTCTGCCAGTTGGGCTACTTCATCTACCCCCCCTCTTTTCATTTTATTCAGAAATAGTTGCAGGTCTCGATAGAACTGAAACTCTTCTGCCTCAAACACACACCTTGGCATTGCACTGTTAGCGTTTAACTTCTTGTTATGATTCAGGGAAGGGACAATTGATCGAAGATTTTTTTTTTCTAAACAGGCCAACCACCTATGTAATAATTAATGGGATTCACTTAAAATAATAATAATAATTCGGTGCACACAGACTGACCTGAAACCTGGGTGCTAAACAAAAAGAAAACGAAAGTTCCATTTGTCACCTCTCATTCTCGCTTTTCAACTCATTTCTCATAAATAAGCGATTTCCTGTTCCGATGAGGAAGTGACATGTTAAGGCTTTACTTCCTGAAGAGGGAGGGGGAGGGGCAGATCTGTTCTGTGACAGACAGTTCTGCTTCTCATCAGTTGGGTTTTTTTTTTTTTTTTTTGCAGGAAACGATTAGAAGTCAAACTTCCAGATGTAGTATCACAGTCTGGGGGAAGAAGAAAGGAAAAGAGAAAAAAAATCCAACTCCTTTCTGGGTTTTGTTCTTTTGAAGGAAGAGGGTTCCCACTGCAGACATTGCTTTCTGCTCTGAATACAGCGAGGGATTCGAGAGGGGCGGGGGCGGTGGTGGCTCCTGGAGTCAGGTCTCATTGATGATGCTGATCTCAAGGTTTTTGCTTTATGGGAAAGTAGTAAAGCGAGACAGGTTGTCCCGTGTGTATAAAATATAGGGCAGCTATTTCCTTTTCTTTGCTAAGAATGGTCCTCTGGGCTTGGAAAAGCCCTCCGGTTTGAACAGAAGGGATGATATAAACACAAACAGCGCTCTGTCCCAATACGCACCTTTGTATTTTCAAGAACTCTTGTATTTATTATGGAAAATGTCACATTGTGATGTATTAAGCCAGTACTTCAATTACGGGTCGACGGGATGACATGTTACATGCTGTAGTTATCACTTATAATTTGTCCCCCTGTTTGAGTATTTCTGTCCCTGGAATAACCTCTCATTTGGCTCTTTCTAGATAGCCTTATTTGATTTAGAGTGGCAAAATGTTTTCCTTTTGTATTCCGGCTTTTCTATTGCTGTATGATACAGAACTCTTTTGGCATAAATATTTGTGTTCCCAGTACCTCAGTCATTTGGGTTTTACTGCCTGCATATGTTTTGTGAAATGGTCCTGTTTTGGTAGGTAACACGTGGACTCTAGTGTGTAAATGTTACTTGAATCTGTGCTTCACTCTAGTATGTCGCATGTGTGCGGACTCTTGGATGCTTCACGCCTACTCCACAGGAGCCCCTGTCCCCAGGAGGGGGCTTCCCCATTCATAATAAGGAGACAAAGCTGCCATGGATATACCCTTGGTTCTATTTTAATAATGGAAGATACAGAGAGAGGGCTCTTACAGTCAGAAGATGGTGCTGAGGCAAGAAGGACCTTCTGTCTTCTCTCTCCCCTCTCTCTCAAGTACTGGGTGGGAGGAAAGATTGGTGACATGCATGGTGGGGACTAATGGCCTCTGGTGCTTTGTCCTGTATTTGGTTTAATGTTTTTGTCCTAATCTCTTCAATCAATAAAATTGTGCGTATTTAACTAAAAGTCTGGGGTCTAGGAAATGATGTTTTTTCTGCCAATGTGTCTGTGGCCATCCCATACCAAGCAAGGCATCCATGATTTCCCTAGGTTTACACTCTTCCCCATCAAACCAGGGTTCATCAGTGCTAACTAACTCATTAAAGTGGGGCACACACTGGCCAATCTAGATGTAATAGCTCGGAATTACCCACCATATCACTCCTAGGAAGGATAAATCATGCTCCATTTACAGGCATGGGTTTCCTCAGATGGACAAGCACGTGTCTTGTCAAAGGGGAAACAGCTCGGAGATGTCAGAGGTGACTCCTGCGCTTTATATCTGTTTAGTCTCAAACCTTTTCACTGGCTGTGGTCTCAGAGCAGAGGGGTTCTCAGGGAGTATAACAGTTACCCCAGAGTTATATCTGTTACTCTACACCTCGATCCCTTCTGCCACGAGGATGGTCTGGGGAAGGCCACACCCAGTACAACACAATCTGAACTATTCACGCGGCATTCTGTTGCAGAGTGCTTCAGTGTCCTCCCAAAGATCCATTGATGATGTACGGGAGGACATGGCTGACCCAGAGATCAGTTTTTCTAACTCCAGCGTGTCTACAATTGGAAGACATCACCCATGTGACCTCAGCGCCTAGCTGGTGGCTGGCCTGTAGTCTGACAACCCTAGAAGGATGCAGTCCCTAAATGGCTGCTCACGAATGTGTCATTTGTGCCGGATGACGTAAGCTGTGCACTTTTCTCCCAGTCCCAAGGCTCCAAGATGCACAGCGTAAGAAGACAGCCAGGAAGCACTTGCAAGGCTACACGTTGGCTGATCCAAGTCTGCTGTTCTCTCCCTGCCTGTGATTAAGCAGGAATGGGCCTTTTGCCTAATGAATACCAGTTTGAATTGTGTTGTATCAGATCTCTGCATATGTGACTGCTCAGGTCTCTGGTACATCCTCTGTGCCTATATAAAAATTAGCTTCAACCTCTATGGCACTTAAACTCAGCAAGCTCCTCTCTCTCTCTCTCTCTCTCTCTCTCTCTCACACACACACACACACACACACACACACACACACGTGTCTGAAGATTTGGCTAGCAGAAAGATTTTATTTTAATGATATGCTATGATGTGTGTGTGTGTGTGTGTGTGTGTGTGTGTGTGTGTGTGTGATTATGATCTACATGATTTAACTCCATTGGGACAGGGCCTGAGATAGGGAGGACGGAGAATTGAGGAATCGGTGACAGCAGGCTCAGGCTCTGAATCCCTGGTGTCATATAAGCTGTGACTTGGCAAGTCACTTTACTTTTATAAGAACCAAAGGTTTCTTAAGGGATGACTGAGTTAAGGTGTGTCACGGGCATAGGGCTGGGTCAGGATGGAATGGGAATCCTTACTGCTATCAGTGAAGGGAACGCAGAGTTGTTTTCACTGGGGAGTGGTACTCAAAACTGAGACTCTTTTAGGAGCTCTTGAGGAGAAGGGAGAGGGGTCACAATGGGAGTGTCTGCCTGCTGTAACCAGAAAAATCCTCATGGACCAACTTTTCATGTCGAGTTCTAATATAGACTCAGGTAGAGGCACATTAAGAGGTGGGGTCTTTAGGGAAGTGATTAAGTTCTACCCTCTTGAATGGAGCCCGACGTAAGGAGACAGCAAAGGTCTGCTCCTGAAGTAGTGAGCACGTTCCCCAAATACTGAACCTATTGATACCTCAGATTTGGTCTTCCCAATGTTAGGGACAGATAGAAACTATTCTCATTCATAAATTCAGTCTAAAGTACTTTGCTAAGCTCGATGAACAGACTAAGGCGTGTTTGAGAAGCACCGATTAAGCCCAACTTCGTAACATTTTTTTTTTTGTAAAGTAGCCAGGGTTCAGAGAGAGTCAGACCTAGGAAAGACCAGAGTCATTTGGTGAGAAGAAGATGCAGGGTGAACTGGAGGTTCAAATATGGATGTGCCTGCAAGCGGACAGCCCTCCACGACATCGGCTCTTCCTGTCACCAACACAATTCTCTTCAGAGTCCGAGGTCCTCTGTATCACGGGCTTCTATTCCAGCCCATCCTTGCGTGTGTCAAGCTCTGTGGCCAACCTTCAGTCTGTGCCAAGCGTTCATCTGTAATAATTATGAACAATAGTTATAAATGCCTTAAGGCGTCCTTATGCATCATCTGTGGCTTTCAAATGTTTCCATGGATGCAAGTCTGGTCATTCATTGCTCGTGTCTCAACAGAGACAAGAAGGGCTGGGACAGCCAGCTTCGTAGGCTGAAGCCCGAACTGAGCCCATCCACAGCCCTGGTCGGGCCTTCTTAATTTTAGTCTGGACAAATGAATCCCCAGCTATGTATTATGTCACTGCAGGGAATCCAACCCTGAGCAACATCCACCTTGAGATGCAGGAGGGTGCTACTCTGTGAATACACAGTCTTCAAAGATATGTAGCAAATTGCACAAATAAGTGTAGTAAGGCTCATGGGAATAAATGCATCAAGACAGCCATGCAGAAAATGAAAAGACAATGTGTACATTTGATTTCAGGGATCTCAGTTCCTGAAGTTGTTTCACACCAACCCGTTGCTAGAGACATAGCTACCACGATGTGGGAATATTGCCAAGCCTCTTCCCTCACCTCTCCCACCCTCACCTCTCCCACCCTCACCTCTCCCACCCTCACCTCTCCCACCCTCACCTCTCCCACCCTCACCTCGAGACAGTGTGCTCTGTGGCTTTCTCTACACTCAGGACTAAAACAAAGGGGAAGTGAGGTTTATGCCTTTCCCTGAACTCGATTGCAATCCAACCAGATTTGGGCAAGAGCCTTTGAGCACATACATATTCCATCTCTAAAGAGAAATGTCTTTGCACCTAGACAGCTATTCGAAGGTACAGTCAGCATTGCACTGACCTGCTCAGGCTGTTGTAGCAACCATCATACTCTGGAAGTTGGAATGGCACCCTTCTTCTATTCTGAAGCCTGTGAAGCACAGGGTCAGAGTGCAGCTTGGTGGTTGATGGCTACCCCAGTCTGACTTTCTGACAGTTTTCTTGCTACTTCCTCAAATGGAAGAGGCAAAAAGGATACTATCCTTACCCAGGAAGACATCGCCTTCACTAGTCAATGTCCAAGGCCACATCTGTGCATCCCATCACTGTGGGGATGAAGGTCTCAGCATCCGTGAGGCAGGCACAAGCAAGTATCTACGTGGAATGAAGAGGGAGCATGGTTTGCAATGCAGACACCCTATGTGTGCCCTGCAAGACATTTTCCTGTTGAGTCTCAGTTTTTCTGTCATGAAATAGGTAACTGAGACAAGGTACTCAATCTGGGGTAAGCACCCTGATGTGCGAGCTGTAGCAAATGTTTCTGCATGGACAAATCCCTCTTTGGTACTGCTGCTTTTAGGCACAGAAATCAACATCCTAAGATGGATTCAAGGGAGTGAGCAAAGCAGGCTTCATCTGGAGGTAAACACACAGCAGCTCTGGAGGACTGACCTGACTTCGCATCCCAAGGTGCAGGGCTATGTCCCTCAGTGTATGAGTTCCTTGCCCCTATAGCTCCTAAAAGAAGTAGAGAGAGGTCTCTCCAAGAAAGAAACACTAGGCTAAGTGTTTCTCATCTTACCCCTATGGACCACTGGGCCAGGTGAGGCTTGACAGAACCTTTAAGGAAGCACCTTAGCTTCTGTTTGTCTTGTACCTGGCATTCCCACTTGCATGTGGACAGGTCAAAAATGAAGAATTGTAACTCTCCTTTACTGAATTAAGTCAGAGTATTTCCTAGTACTATGCTTTAAACTGCCAAATGATACCCTCAAATGTGACCTTATTGGGAAACAGGGACTCCATAAAAAGAAGTTGCACTTGATTATGGCTTCTCCTAATCTAGTGAGATTAGTAGCTTTAGAAGTAAAGGGGATGAGAGAGAGAGAGAGAACTGTGGGCCCCTGGGGGTATGAAAAAGAGACAAGGTGGGAATGGTAGCCAGGAACAGTCAGAGCTCTTGGAAGAAAGCTAGAAAATGCCAGGAAAGATACTCCCTGAGAATCAATGGGGTGCACGTAGCCTGTCAACACATTGACTTCAAACTTTGAGTAGATAAATTTCTGCTGCCAAAGCAGTCTGGTTTGCCCTCTGCAAAACTAACACACCTTGGTATCTCCTTAAGTGGTGTTGCCAGGCTTTGGTATCACAAAGAGAACTGAAGCTTGATATTTCAAAATCTTATTTCACACTCACTGCTTGCTGGGGTGTTCATGGCAGTTCCTATGGGGTGGGAGGACAGACTACAGAAAGAGCATGTTAAGCAGCAGGTTGCCTGGGCATCAGCCTAGACATACAGGCCATGAAGAAAGACACCCTCCACTTCCAGTCAGGTCCTCATTACAGGCAATGATGCTGAGAGGTAAAGCAGAAGACCTTATGTAGACCATTAACCATGGGTAGTGGACTAGGGTTTTCTAAGGGGAACAGAACTGATAGAATGAATGTATCAAAGGAAATTGTTAGCTTTTGCTATGTGAACTGGGCAGTCCCACAATGGCTATCTGCACACTGGAGAGTCTAGGAACCCTGTTGCTGCTCAGTCCACTATGCTGGGTGCCTCAGAAGCTCCAGTTTGGGCCTGTGGAGTTCCTGGAGTTTTCTGATTTCTAGTTTGGTTTGAAGGTGGGAGAAACTGGGTTGTGAGTGCAGCAAACGATGCTGGGAGCAATGGTAACTGGATCACTGCACCCACTAGTGAGAAACAAAGACAGGCAGATAGCAGCATTGCTTCCCTCTCATGGCTTATGTCCAGGCTAAAAAGACGCTGGGAGCAATGGTAACTGGATCACTGCACCCACTAGTGAGAAACAAAGACAGGCAGATAGCAGCATTGCTTCCCTCTCATGGCTTATGTCTAGGCTAAAAAGACGCTGGGAGCAATGGTAACTGGATCACTGCACCCACTAGTGAGAAACAAAGACAGGCAGATAGCAGCATTGCTTCCCTCTCATGGCTT